TTTTAACAGTAATTTATGTTTTATTTTAATTATTTTTTTCTCAAACAACAACAAATTCTTTTGGCAATGAGTGAGTGAGTGACTTCAAAGTTCAAGGTAAAACAGAAAATTTTTTAGAGAAATGAGAAATTTACAACGAAATTTTTGCAACAGAGTGTTTCGAAATTTAATGAACAATGTTGAAAGTTAAATGTAAAATTGAAAATTTTTTTTTCAAAAGCTATGAGTTCCTCAATTGTAAAATTCTCATAGCTTTTGAATAAAATAACAGAAAAAAAGGAAGAATATTACAAAACTACTATTTTGATAATTAATAATTATTTGACTTCAAATTGGGAAAGGAGTCTTATTCAGCTGTGACAAGCTTAAATAAATTTGCAAAATTGAAACTCGCTTAGAAAATGTACACCTACCATTCAACAATAATTTCAAAGAACAAAACAAAAATTGAATATTATCTAAACTGAAGACAATATTTTCCAAATAAAAACGGAAAGTCGGGAATTTACTTTCAAATATGAAGTTCTAGTGGTTTATTCTAATGAAGCAAGCATGTTGAGTATGTATATACATATAAAACTTTGCACTAAATGCAGTATAATTTTTAATACGTTTCTAGTATCGCCTAGAATTAAGTTTTAAAATTATTAAAAAAATGTCGGCCTTTTTACCTATAGGTCGATCTGTCTGCCTTTCGGTCTGTACGTGCACGCATGCATTTCAAGTTCGGCTTAACCGATTTTGATGAAATTTTATATGTCAGTTCATATGGATGGCACAAAATGTGACCTACTAATAGCTAATATTACATTTTTATAGGTATGTTACGTAAAGCTTACAATATTCCTTGAAATTGGAAAAAATTGTTTAAAAGCCATTTTTATTACCTTCTTTAACACTTGCGCCAAACTAGACAATACACGTAGCGGTTGGTTATAGTTGACAACATCACGTTTTGTTTAAATGATGACAGAATAATCAGCGGTAGCTATTAACTGTAGCTTTCGTGCATTTTCATTTATGTATTAATTGTACATATTAACTGCGTAACTATATGTAATTGTAAGATACGTACAAGGCGAAAATGTATGAAACCCATTGTAGGATAACTTCATTAATATTTTATTAATTTTAATTAATTTTTCAATCATTTTATTATTAAATGAAATTAATACAAAATAATTCATTTAATTATCTCTTCTCAATAATCTTTAATATAATTCATACATAGATTATGATAGAACATAGAAAATTATTCATAAAATTTTCTCACATACTTTTTACTATTCAAAATTCAAAAAAAAAATTTCTAAATGAATGACCATCTATAAAAGAAAATTAATTTTCCGAAACAAAGAAAAAATCAACCCACTTTTCGTATAAATATTGTGAATAATTATTATTAAGATTATTAAAATAAATACTTTTTGTGTATTTTATGTATCTAACATATAAAATGTATAGAAAATAGCCAAGAAAATAGCAAGAAATTAGTTAAAGGTTAAATGAAGGCGGCATAATACCATCATGGCATATAAAAATCAATAAAAAATAACCATTCATTTTTAACAAATTTTCCAGTGCAAAATATTGGAAACAATTTTTCTTCTTTATTATACAGAAAGAAAATAAAAATACATAAAAACATTAATGATATTATTGGATATTAACTTACCGTTATTATATAATATAATGTAACGGTATTGCAAATAATATCTCTAACATACATGTGTCCACACTCATTATATTCTTGTACACTAATAATATAAAAAACAATAAAAAAACACAACTATAATCGTTTGGCACACTCAAATGGTACGTATAACAGTTTGTATACAATATCGTTTTAAAAATCGACTATAGAGAGGGGGGCTCGTTCACTTATTGCTTTTTTGTACCATGACCGGGAAACGGAACAAAATAAAACAAAACATGGAATCAAGAGAAAAAAAGGACATAAAACAATACGAAAAGAATGTAAGGAAAAGGAAAACAAAAAATATAATAAAAACGGAAAATTGTTTTTTCATACACACACAGCTACACACGTGCTCAATGACAAATATATGTATATATATACAAAGAGCAATGTATATAATGTGAATTTGTTCAGAAATATAAATGTTTGGGTAGACATGTTAGTAAAGTTCAAGAACATTATCGTTAGTATAAAAGGTATTTATGAGAATGCTTTTGTCATTATGGGTTGAATTCTTTTTTTTTTGTCTTTTTTCGTATAAATTTTATGCACACCACATAAGTATAACCATGTATTATGTAATATAAATGCATGTAATGTTAAGGTCTAATGTAAAATTTTCTTGCAATTTTTGTAAACAAAGTAGAAAAAAATATATTGGATTTTAAATAAAATTTTCTAATTGGGTAATATTAAATTGTAACGATCTAACATTAAAAGGGACCTTGTTATTTTAATTAAATTACTACACATGAGTGTTTAATTTGGAAAATTTTGGAATGATCAGAAAACAGATATTTGTTTGAATTAAAAGAAAGGATTTGTATGATTTTGAAATAAAACACCAAGCGTGTATTCTTTCATATTTGACAAACCAAATAAAATATTGATGGAAATCGTCAAACCGAAAACCCGCAGCTTGACGGCATAAAAAAATTTATAATGGTGACCGTATTATTTTTTCAGCTGATTTGATGTTGATTGTTGGTACAGGTAAAGGCAACGCATAGATACTTTTCTAAATTGTTAACAATTTGACATTGATTAAAATCTAAACTTCTAAAAGAATTTTTCACTCTGAAATATTTGACTCTAGTTATAAATTCTGAAAAGCTATCTTGACAACATGTTGCCAAGATAAGAACATGTTGCGTAAAGACATCTAATTGATGTTTAATGAACACCATTGTTTTCCAGATCTGAAGTCAAATTTTTGACAATTTAGAAAAGTATGGGGTGAGATTTTTTAGATGAATGCCTTATTCTTGCCACAAATTTCATATTTAAATTCATTAATAAAAAATATGCCACTACTGAGTAGGGCTACATTCGAGCAAAGTGAAATGTGCAGTAAAATTACAGTTTTTACCTATTGCTCTTAACATTATTTAAGTGTACCAATCAAATACAAGCTCATATATATGTCGTGCACAACTTCGAGCGAAAACGCTTTTAGAACATTGTCTTTTAGTGTAACCACTTTTTTTTTTTCGTTAGATTTGGTTTCATGTTCCCAGTTACTTGTATGTATTTTTTGTTTTACTTTTTCAACTATTAATTTCAACTCATGCTAAAAAAAATTTTCCTTTTGCCTTACTTTTTTATTTCTGCTCATATGTTTCGTTAGTCATTTGTAATCGGCTTTCTCTCCTTTTTCTATTATTTTTATATTACTCAACTTATAATATTACTTGTACAACAATAGTTTACTGTGATGATAACACATTTGTGTCACCACTTGTAATACCATAATACAATGTACAATTTATTGTGGTAACCTTGGTTAAGTACAAACAGTTCGAAAGAATTTAAGAAATTTAAAATTGAGTTCTAATTTGGAGATTGTCGGGGGGGTCTTAAAATGTAATTGTTAATCTTCCTTATATAATGTTATTTTTGAAAATTTATTTAAGTATCTCTAATTTGTGAAACAAACAATACTCGTATGACATTTGAAGATAAAATTTAATAAAAATCTAAAAATTCTGAAATTACGAAAACAGAGAAAGGGAAAATATGAATTCTTCGAATTTCATTACTGACTCTAACATGATTCTTAATTCTTTTGGAAATTGTGTCTTCACTAAATATTGCTAAATATTGCTAATTTTCTGTCACAATGGTTTGAAAATAAGTGAGACGCAGTTAATATGGTTTACTTTAATAGCTACTACTTAAATATGATTTTGTTTTCAGTATCCTAGAGCTGCTGAAAACAACTTGATTCCATTTCATTTCTATATAAACATAATGCAAAAGTGTCGAAATTCTACTTTCGGTACCAAAACATTTTATATTTATTTTTAGTGGGTACATTTATAGATTTTTTTTTTGTTATTAATATGACTGCAATTTACAAAAGCTGCTTTTTACAAAAAAAAAGGACAAAAAAAAGCCAAAACAATAAAGAAATAAATAAAAATAAAAATGTCATTTGAAAAAGGGATTTCCTCGACTCTTTTAAAAAAATTAAATTTTTGTGAAAATGTCAAATGATTTAAGTAAAGGTTTTGTTATATTATTTTCCCCCTTAATTTAAATATTGAATTTCATTTAAATAAAATGACAAGAGTCTTAATAACAATTTACATATTACACGATAAATCCATATAATGAAATTGTTGTTGAGGAATTATTGAAATAGCCTGAAAATGGTATACAGGAAGTTGGAAGTAATTTTTTTAGAAAACTTTAGTCATTAATATTTTTCTGTTTATTATCTTAGTATTTGAAATTTGTTTTAAATAAAAAATAAATAGAATTTATTAGAAGTTTCTGTATCCTTATTATTGTTTAACCATTATCTATAATAAATCATAATTAAATATAGGAAGGAATTTCTTGAGTGTGTATGTAAGAGGAAATAATACGAAGCAATAATTTAAGATTTTAAATATTAAATTTTTATTGAAGCAGTTATTTTTATTTAAAGTTAAATTTTAAGTTTGGTTTTTACATTATCACAAAAGCCTTCACAAAACCTTGACAATTAAAGCTAAATTTTTGCGTGGAATATTGATCCGTAGTGAAATTTTAAGATTTTTGTAGAGAATAACACTGCAATGACTGATAAGCAACTAAATAATTTTGAATTTGTTTTGTCCTCAAATGTAATGTAAGTAAGGTAATAAAACTTTTATTAAATTCTATTCTAAAGTTAAAACTAATTCTCTAAATTTTTCAATAAGTTGTTAAATGAAATTTTTTCACAAAAACTGAAAATTTCTCTTCATATCTCACATACACACATATACATATATAAGAATAATTAAATTAAATTGTTCAAATAAAGTCTAATTACCTTTTATGTACGTACATTTGTTCTATACTTTTGAATATTTTGAAAGTTTAAAAATAATTTCATCCTTTTAAATTCACCCACCTGCAATAAAAAATGAAATAGAAATTAATTAATTGGAAAATTTTAAAAATTATATAGCTGTATTATTTTCTATTTGCAAGCAAAATTGTTTTAATTCATTAAAAGTTTGATGAAAAATTTTATCTTATATTATGCAAATTTTCCCTAAAAGTATGCAATTTATTTTGTCAAAATAAATGTTTAAATTATTTTAAAAATGTCATTTTTTTTCTTAAATTTTAATTCATTAAATTAAAAGGGATTTAAAATCAATAAAAAATATTGGGACTAATAAAATAATAGCAATAATTCGAAAATTTTAGAACTCTAATGAAAACTATCTTTGAATTCTATTTGGTGACAAGATTTGATAAAGTGAGATTTAGCTTAAACAATTTTGAATTAAATTAAAAATAGTTCTACTTGAATAATTTCAACTCATTTTGAGCATAAAATAACATAGAATCTGAAGTTGCCACGGGATGTCTCTACTACTCCTTCATCTTTTGCGAATTCGTGGCAAACTAGAATGTATTGAGGTACGAAAACATACTCAAATATTTTAAAAACAATGTTATTTACGAGCCATATATGTTATACTCGCTTTTAAATAATAAAATTTCGATTAATAAACGCTTTGATAATGACAACCGTTTTAAAAACTCACGGTATGGTAAAATACTTCTATTATCAAAGCTATAATATATGCGTGGAAAGAAATCCCAAGCAATTACGCCTGTTTTGTAACATCTTCCCTCTTGGACCTCTCACTCAGACTCAGTGGTTTTATATGAGAAAATATGATTGTTTTTTTTTCTTTTTAAATTTAAAAATCAATTTAACATTTTGATTTCAAATCTTCTAGTTTACGACAAATTTTCTTTACCAAAACGTTTTGTTGTTCATTTTACAGTTACTTATGCATTTGCATGTGAAAATGTACTTTTTAATTTTTGCATTCTCCAATTGCATTCAATGCTACATTTACTATTGTGAAACAATAAAACTTTATTGTTTTCTTTATAGTACACACAAAGTAAATTACCTATTGACACGTTTCTGAAGACATAAAAAAGCAGGTAAGAACAATTATTATTCATTCATCAAATACGCCTACTTTCACTCGTTAATCATTACGTCCACAAAATACCTTCATAGGTACTCCAAAAAAAAAAAAACAGAATTAATGGAGAAGAAAAGAATTTATTGTTTTCAATCAATTTACATTTCAAATATCACTCTACTGCCTACTATCACAAAACTTTTTAAATTCGAAATGAGTACCTAAATTGAATAACGGTACATTAATAATATTCTACTTTATACTGACCACAACGTTTAATTTAAAACACGTAACGTGTACTTGTACTTTTTCAAAAAAAATTGTTATGGCGTAGATTTGATTTCGCACCCATTCTATACAATGAATGACCATTAAAAATTCATTTAATTTTCTAAATCAACCTAAAACAATGGACAATTTGTAATTTTATATTGTAGAAGAAAATAGAAAAAAAAAATTATAAATTAGACTTAATTCATTCAACACGTACAAATTTCAAAATGGAATAATTGTTGTAAGTGAAATGAGAAAATTGATAGCATTTAAAATTTAAACTGTGATAAATAGAAAAATATATTTTATGTAGAACAATTAATAAATTAATGATAGGAGCCCTTAATTCAAATTTATCATTTAGTTTTCTATTTTTGATTTTGTGCTAGGTACTAACTGCTTAAAAAGTTGTACTACACAGAAATTATTTTGAAAAGTTGTAATAGAACTTCTACATTTTAGCACATCTTTGGTTTACCGAATTGGACAAATTAAAGAATTTTAGTATAACACATCATTTGTTTTAATATTAACCCTTGAGTGGCATTGGTTTTTGCTTAAAAATTTTTATATACTAGATAGAAACAATTGCGACTTTTGATTGTTTATTTTTACAGCAACTAGAAAAACTTTGTCTTATTGTAAAATTCATTTGGCATAAAGACGATAATTGTGCTTTAGAGAGTTAAATTATAGTTTAAGTATAAGTAATCAACACATTTGCAAGTGTTTTTGAATTCCTCAATATTTCTAAGAGCTATAAAAATTCTTAAATAAAATTATATCTTTATAGATTGCGCTTTACGTATAGTAGCGCCACACTTTTACTTCCCGTTTTTTTGGAAAATGTGATTGTGTGAAATTTGAATAGAGTTATAGATATTTTCCAGAAACTGTGGCCTCAAATAAATGAAATTCTTTCATAATTTATTTAGAATTGTTAAATATTAAGCCTAATTATAATGACTTCGGATTGGATTGCCATTTTGTGATTTTTAGAAAAGAAATATTTTGAAAAGTTGTAATAGAACTTCTACATTTTAGCATTCTTTAAAATTCAAATTTAAATTAAATCTATTGCATATTTTACTAACCAAGAAGAATTAAATGCTGATTTTCATAATTTCTAACTTTAATATCATCTTCTATTATTTTTTTCTTCTCTGTCAAGATTTTCTTAAAAAAAACTCTTTTCTTTATAAATCGAATTAAATGTCAATTAAATGTAATTTGTAACCCAATTATAGACTTCATTACTCCTCACTTATTCTCAATAGATCAACAATTCACTTTAAAACATACTACAAGTACAAATTTTTTTTAGTACTAAATAGTATCGTATTTTTCAATATTTGAGATGTGGCAAATGTTAAAATTCAAAAGGTGACTTATTGTTCTTTACACAATGGTATCATGGAAATAAAAAATCAACAAAGGAGAGAGGAAAAAAGAAAATAAATATTTTTAAACGATTACTCTCGAGAAGTGATTTATTAAAAAAGAAGAGTAATATTGTAAGGAGAATAAGTACAAAGAAAAAGAGTTAAATTATAAGAAAATATTGAAGGCGTCATATTGAAAGAAAAGAAAATCAAATATTCTTAACATTACATACAAAACTGTAAATGGGTTTTTCAATGAAGAACGCTTCAGATTTTTATTGAGAATAAGAATTTCTGAGAATAAGAATGAGAAGAGATACATCTTGAGAAACTTTTATGAATATCTCCAAAGAATCATGTGTTTGTGTTACACACCCATTAAGACGCGAGAGTTGCTATTACAATCGATAAGGTGTTTGATTGCATTAAGCAAAGTCAAGAAATAAAAATATTATAGAAAGCGTTAAATAATATGTAATTTTTAAGAAAAATATCAAAAATTGTCTAAACACTATATTATTTATGCTTTTCTTATAGTGTACGAACATTGTCAGATTTCAGTTTTAGAAATTTTATAATTAAGTATTTTCAATTCAAAATATATAGACTTTGAAGTGCCTCAAGGTAATTATAAAATATACTTATGCAACGCAAGTCAAAAGTGGAAAATTTTAAAGTTCGTTGCACAGCAATAAAAAATTTAATTTCTGTCAAGAGAGTTCTGCTGTCAAGATAACATGGTGCATTTACATGTCAAATAAACGTCATTTTTTAATATTAACGTAAATTTTTTGATATTTCACTTACTATTTAAATTTCGGCGCCTACCATCTTTAACAATTTCAGATATATTTTATATTGAATATAAGAAGCTCTCAAAAACATAGATAAGTTCAATATGAATCCCCATAATGATTAACCCTTTGCATTTATTACAGTGAATAAATTCAAAAAGATATTATCTTTTCTTTCAGAACCATTTAATGTAGATATGCAAAATCTACTTACATAACAAAAAAAAAGTAAAAAATACAAAAACTTACAAAAAAACTTAATGATACAAAAAAAAAATCATCTTTTCTTAACGAAATAAAAATTGGAAAAACGCTTTCAAAAATCGCTTTTAACCTTTTTAATTTTTATTATCCTTTCTTTTATTTTTCAAATAAAGGAAATTTGAAAGTGACGTCGTCATTTTAAAAATTGCTCTAAGATTTAAGAATTTCCGCAATTTGAGTTTAACAAGGTTTGAATCTTAAAATTATTCGAGTGTTTCCTGGGTAACTTTAAAAGAAAAAAAAGTGTTCGAAGTCAATGTGTAAACGAAAACTGAAATTTCTTTTGAAGTTTTCACAATTTTATATTTTGGGGTTGTTTTGAGAGCTTTTCTTTAAGAAAACGAAGAGTGAAATGAAAGTAAAAATATTTTTTTTTAATTTTGAAATTATTGCAATGAAACCCTAATATATCTGAGGCTTTTCAGAAATCAAATTATTTTCTGTGTATGTGCATGTGTGTAAAACAAATGTCGAATATTATATAAAAAATATTACCAATATTACAAGTTCTCCTGTCTCCTATAATTTTATTTCGTTTAACTAGAGTTGGGGGTGGGTTTGGATAATCATAGATTCAATTTTAATTTATGTGCACAAAGAATATTTTTGAACACCAAGGATTTTAATTTATAGATGAGAGTTCGACGACGTCATATAAAAATGTCATTTCGAATGAAACATTTTATTTAATTTTAATTTAAAATTGTTAAATAAAAATAAAAATGTATTTTGAAATTCAATTTAATATCTGACATTAAATTGACTTTAAAAACATTTTTTCATTAATTTAAATTTATGAAGGTATGCCCTTGATTTTTAAAGTAAAGCAACGCAATGCCTACACAAAGTAAAAAATTTATTTATTTTTTTTTCACCTTAATTATGTTTCATCGCGAGTTGCGAAAGTTTTATACTGTGATTTAGAAGGTTTTATAGTGTGATTTATTAAACCATGAAACAAATTTTCAAATAATTTAATCTTTACTTGAATAGTCCTTGAATTTTTCTGAAAATCAAAATTTCAAAATTATACCTTTGAAATAATAAATATTGCTTGAAGAGGATTAATAATCGCAAAGCACTTAAATATTATTCCAAATTAATTTTTCAAAGAATAGATCAACACAATTGACGAGAAAAATTAATGTGACCTTTTGTAAAAATCAGTGAAAATTCTCTCATGCAATTAACCCTTAAAATTGAGCATTATGTTGACCCCTCTTTATATTAATTTTTGCTTT